AGTTTTATATCACAGCTCAGCCTGGACCTTGAATTCATAATACGCAAGATACATAGTGAAGTATTCTTTTACAGTACGGCCCTAATCACACAAAAATGTATGCTCAATTGTGTATAGACATACTCAATGACTAGATGTCAAACTGTAGGCTGTCTATATTTGCTTCTTGTGTATTTCAGTTTTTGCTAACCTGCATAGACATTTTTAGAAGCTGGGAAAGTTTTTGAAATTATGCTTTCTTCCATTCTTACTGTCTGGTTGGAGATACATTTCCAGTGAACAACAAAATAAAAACATAAAATAACTTGTAAATGTTTCAGGCCTTTGTTAACAATTAGATCAAGCAGTTTCCATATGACTATCCACTGGAAGATCATGTATCTCGACTAGCCAAAGGCTCAGGGCAAATGCTCTGATTCATCACAAGTGCTGAACTTGGCTCAAATACTTGAGTGAAAACACTGGATTAGTTTATCCTAATCCCATATGTGTGGTGCTATGGCCCACAGATCCTTCTGTAATGTGACACCTCATCTCCACCTCTGCCTCACTAACGTTACAACTACAGAAAAGTCATGATGACAGGTTATAAAGTGATGACATTTTTGTCAAACAGTTCTTTCTCCTGCCTAGTATCATGATTTGAAGAGGATCCAACTTGGGTTTTGCAAACCATAGCTATTAATCTACTAAATACTGTTTGACCTATGCCTGGGTCTCTCTTAAAAAAAAGAAAATTCAGTGTAAAGCCTATGTAGATTCAACATTGTGTAACTTATCTACTTTCTTGGGCAGAAACCATGCCACTACCAAGGAGTAATCTGTTTTTTGTATTTCCATGAACTTTTTTTTCTAAAATCTTTAAGATTCAGTAAAGCAGATCAAGGTGATTAGATAATCACATAATTAGTAAGAAGTTCATAAAATTTTCACAAAAAAATAAGAAAACATAATTTTAGGTGAAACTTTAAGAAAGGTAATTTATTAAAACATTAGCATTTTCCAAACAATGAAAATAAAAAAAAAAGCATTACTATGTTTTTTAAGATAACAAATCTTATGCGATATAAGCTAATGATTTTATTCCTTTTTTTGTTCTAGTAAGATTGAGTTATTTATAGCATGTCTACAACTAAAATGTCATTTGCACTTTATGAAAATCTGAAGACTCTGCCATATATAAGAATAGCAAAAATACTAGAATTCATCCTAACATTTTAATCATACAACTTATTATACAAAGTCTTTTGTTTCAAGTCTTCCTATCGTGTTTGGTATTAAATGGTATTTCTCTTTTAGACACTCCAAAAATAAAACCAATAGACATTTCAACTAAGTAGAAATGTTCTGTAACTATTCTGTGTACATCTGCTTACCATAATGTATGTTTACATATTAATGTGCAGTACAAATTTGTAAACATGAACATTTGAAACTTTGAAAGGAAATGATACTAGTCTTGTTCCTCTCACTATTTTATTGAAACAGCATGTCTAAAGTTGGCCGGCACCACACATGTAAATAGTTTTAATATTGGATATGTTTCAAATGGTATATGCATCTATTTGTTCTGTTTTATGTTGCCATTCAAATCATGTTTATTTGTACAGCTTTAATACAAATTATCATTTAATTGCAGTCCAAACCTAGGAAGATTAAATGTATACGAAGGCACTTATATCAAAGCAATTGCCACCAATGCCTAAGCTATGCATTTGGTTTGTTTGAAACTGCTCCAATAAACATACTAAATTCCAATGAAGTCAACTGGTAAACTGTTGCTGTATATCAGGATGCTATTGTTATTTTGGCTAATTGAAAAATTTTCAGCACAATGGCAACATCACTTTAAATTGGTGTAAAAACATTGTACTTCTAACCTGTTAATTCAATTCACAAAGTACAATACATGCAACTAGGCATTTCTGTGTAAGTTTAAATCTGCCTTTCTATGTACATACATAGAATTTTTGTAGCATCTAATTATAGGAAGCAGGGGAAGTAAAAGTAACACATTGTAAATTATTTAAAGCAAAATTAATACTCAGCTGGTTTTATGTCGACTCATATCTACGACAGTTCTTCAGAAAGTTGGTGGAAATGTGTATTATGATGAAAATATTCATGAAATCCATTTTTTGCACCAAAATAGATTTACCTTATAATTTATTTTTCCCATGAAACTTTGTACATATTCTTGTATATATCATAGTGTAACATATAGAACTTCTTGAATTGTAGTTTATCCAGATCAGGAAAAGAGTTGTTACTGAGATGCAGTGAGGAAATAGCTGAATATTAATCCTGCTGTACACATGGATATGTAGCCCCATTGTCTTAAAATATGTACACTTGCCATCAAAATGTGTGTAATTTTTATGAATATTACTTCAATATTTATACAAAATACATATTTTGTCATGTTTTGACTCAGTATTATACAAGTAATATGTTTAAGATATGTGTTACTTGCTTTATATGTATGTGATTTTATCCATGCAGTATAACATAAGTGAATAGAAGAATGAAAGGAAAATGTTCCTCGATGTCAGATACAGATGCTTGTCTTGATTTGTTGTTGGCACTTTGTCAGATTGTCAGCACATAGGTCTCCGAGGATGCACAGACTGATACACTGACTGACTCATCACTTACAGAATCTAAATTTCCATTTATTTTTATGCCATAGATGTGCTTCATTCTCACAGAAGAATGAAGTCATGTCCGTTCCAGACCACATATAGAACTCATGCCTTAAAGCAGTGAAATAGAATTAACTTCTATTTTCATAGTTTAGGGAAAATAAACTTCTTCCTTTTAATAGTGTAATGAATAGGAAAAATAATTTTCATGAGCCTGAAGATCCTAAAATTATGTAACCTGAAATTATATGTCCTAATTTAAAATATAGTCTCCAGAGGACTTAGCCTTTCTGCATAGTGAATAGAAATAACAGTATCAGAGTTTGATCCTCTAAGTTATGTTAGCTGGAATTGTATAATCCCCCTCAAAATTTGATGAATAGATGCATGCATCTGTTCAGACATGACTTTTGCATAAGATTCAAACTGTAAGTTCTTGAGATCAGTTTGAATGATTGCTTCACAAAATATCACCTTCCTAAGACCAAGGAACCTAGAGTTCTGAGCTTGACTAGTGCTTTGAGGGCATAAAGTAGCATCTGCTCATTGCAGAAACTTCACAAAGGTGATGCAAAATTCATTTTACCCCTAGATTTTTTTCAGTTAAGTCATATAATCAGGTCAGTTTCAGAATCATACTTTATCAATTTAGTCAGCTGAATAAAGATATTTTCTTTCAAAAAAGGAATGGGGTACACACACACATGTGGTCAAGCTATGTGGAAATAGAGGTTTTAGTTAACAGGTTTAGGGATCTGTAAAGTATCATTTGGCCATTGTCATTTGCTAGCTATTTTACATTTTGCCTAAATATAGTAGCTTTTGATTTTTGTACAGTTTGAAAGGAAACCTAGCATTTAATTGAGTCACTTGAAGACAATATAACTTTATCATATTTTGTGATTTACTTTGTCACCATAATTAACTTACCAAGTTACTGTTAAGGAGTAGGAATTTCTTCAAATAGTAGTAAAGGTACTAAATAATTATTGCATTAATTAGAGCTATTTGCCTTTTTCTTCACATGAATAACTTGTTTGTAAGCAGGGGATTGTATGTTAAACTTTTTTATATGTCTTCTAAATCTAATTTTAGATGAAGACATTTCATTGCATACCTTTTCAGTTAAAACGACGAAATGACAGTTATAAAAATTACATAAGAGTTTAACATATTTATATGTCGAGCTTTGGTCATTCAGAGCCCTATTCCTTTATATTAATCACTGTTTTCAATGCAATTCCATATTCTCAGTTTCATATTGTGCAATACACAGCAGATGTATCTGAAACATAAGATATGTCCTCTGTACTAGCCATAAAGTGAATGCCTCTTTTAAAAACGCTTTTAAAAATAACAGATTTTTCTTAATTGTTCGATTAAATACTTTCTCATCAATTACTGAGTTTTCTTTCTTGTAAGCCCTCAGAGTAAGTTTTAGTATAATCTGACGGTGGGATTTCTGCTTAAAAACTAATTTGTTACATTGTTTGAAGTTAACCTACAGATTTCCTGTTTTGGAGTAGACAAAAGTAAAATGTGCTTGTTGCTTTCAATACCTCTTTCAACACATTTAGATAAGACAGGTTTTACGACTCAAAGATCTTTGTAACAGATGCTTACTATGTAGAGGTCACAAATATTTCTTCATGGCTAGAATGCTTCTTTTGGACCAAGTGTGTGCTGTTACATTTATACTCTCAAGAGTGAAGGACACAAATTTTAAAGAACACATGGCAGGGCATCCTCATAAAGCATATTTAGATTAAATAACCATTTGAGCAAAATAAATAATGCTTATATATTTTCTTAGTTTATTTAGGAAAATCTTGAAAACTCAGTTTAGCAGTTTGGGTAACTTGTCGAAAGTCAAGTCATGTCATTGTGACATAAAAGGCCTTGAATTAAATGTCTGGAGTTACTGGCATAAAAATTAAAATCTGATCAGTGTTAATGATATACCATCTTTATATGTAACCTATACTTCAAAATTCTGCTCAAAATTTTTGGTGTCTCAGTAAAGATCCTTTCAACTTTGTTAACTATATTAAAGTCTTATTCTGTTTATCTAGTCTGTTTTACTGCTATTGATACATGAGTGGAATTAAATTACACCAATGTAACTCCATCTTCATTATTAAAGCCTAAATTGTAGTCTCCTCCTTCAAGCTATAATGTCTTAGTCTTGGATAACTAATTTGTTTTGTGAAAGTTCTTTTAAAACATCAGTTTATTAATGTAGTAAGTAAGCAGGCTTCATCCAGCAATGATTTTTCAAAAAGGAAATCAAAGATCAAATTTGTTTAAAATGGTTTAATTTTCTTTTGTTCTTTGCGTTCCTTCAGGATTAAATAGTTGTTAGGCTACAAAGATTAATAAAAATAATACTTGAAAGTTTACTTCCTTATTTGTACTTTGAAATTAATATTTCCTTCAACAGCAGAGTATAAATGTATAAGGCAGACAAATAAATTTTCTTCTACAATTATTAGAAAGATAATTACAATGGAGTTAATTTTCATTAATAAGATTGAAATTGTTTCACTGCTTCCACAAAAATGACATATTTATTTTGGTCATAAGCAATGCATAAAAGACAGTTGACGTGGTAAACTGGCCTCATTACATTTAGAGACCCCATCACCTGACATCAATTCTCACTGGTAGGCTATCTCTCAAAACAATATTTATTGAGTTTCTTATTTTGAGGCCCAAGCACACTGTCATTAGAGGTTCTTATAGATCACATTTGAGTGTATAAACAACTTCGTGAGAACAACAGATAAGGTACTTTAAATACATAGCAGAGCAATCGTGTCTAGCTGTGAAAATTTTTAAGCTCAACAGCAGGTGATCTTTATTTGATTACAAATATGCGCTATATGTAACTCTATTATGAATTGTTTCATTAAAGGCAATGGTTAATTGTTGGATGCCAGTGAACATGATTACATCTGCTTTCTCTAAAAGAGACTTGACCGTTGTCATTCACTTTGAGATGGTTTGCAGCATTTACCAGTCTAGATGGCATAGAGTGGTTATACCTATATAAGCCATAGGGAGGATGGAAAGAACAACTGAGTGCTTCTCTGGCAATGGAGCTGGGTGGGAAAATGTTTCCAGTTGTCTGTAATCCATACACCACTTGATTGACAGAATTAGATGTTTGAAGATATTGCCCATTGAAGTCATCAGTTGAACCACTTTTTGAATTGGCAACCCCCATAGAAGACAACATGGGCACTTCCATCATGAATGGAGCTAAAGACTGAGAACTGTTGCTGCTTGCTAGCCTTTCAGTAGTAGGTAAGAAAAGAGGTTGCTGTCGCCAAAAATTAGCTGGACAAATCTTGTAGCAAAGGGGCAAGTTGATATTGTGCAGGTATGTCTCTGGACATGGCATTCCAAGGGAGCTCGTAGGCAAGTGAAAAGTAGGCGGAGAGCAAGGTGGAGAAAGTAAGGAGTTCAAAGGAGAAGGAGCCCCTCCACTTGATGTCACTGGAGAGGAGCCGCTGCTTCCACCTGTGAATGATAGTGCAATGAACAATGAACTTAGTATCCCTGTTGAATCTTCATTCGTACCAATCACCGTGCTAGTTTCATTTTTAGAATAATTTTCCTCGTAAGCTAAGAGCTGTTTTAGCAAGCGTGATGGAAGACATGCTCATTTCTTTAACCAAAGGTGAATATCTCATTTCTATTACTACCATGATTACTTTTAGCATGGCTGTTGTGTGTTAGGTATTGAGCACCTACTACAAACTTTGTAATAGGCACTTGAAATATACTAAAAGAGTCCAATTGTAATGTGATTAGGAGTCAATTACACATTGTAAATCTGAATTAATTTAATTTAAAACTTTAACAAAAATAAGAGGTTTAACAGATTGAGCAAATTGAAAAGCTGTTTTGGAGTCTATAAAGGCTTCACTGTGATAAGTACAGTGTACGTCAAAATGAACTCATACGAATGAAAACAACACATTTAAAAGCATTGCTTTTTTATTTCTCTTATATGAGAATTATGGATGGAGAGAGTTCTATGTCACTCTGCAGCAAGAGTTTGGGACATTTTTAAAGTTAAGAAACATAAAGATGTGAATGGAAATATATGTATCAATGATTAATGGTGATCTTTTATGGCTTTTTAGAATCTACTAAATCAGGAGTAATTAGACATTCCAGGGAAATCTAGACCCTAAACTTCCTTGATGTGACTGCTTGAATTCAAAGTAACAACTGCTTATTGACTAGATTTTAAAGAAGCTTTTTTGGCGTTGCTGTTATTTTGTCTTTTTTTTTTAATTATTTATATGCAAAGATAGCGTGCTTGTTTAAAGAGGTCGAAAAGTCATTTTTTAAAAAAAAAGCATTTACTCCTGGGGCTTATTGGGTTAAAGCTGGCACCTGCGACCTGGGCAAGCCATATGAGTGCCAGTTGCAGCCTAGTGTTGTCAGGGTGTGTGACACTGAGGAAGACAGCTGTCAGTAAGTCCCTCTTTACCACAGATCTAGCCCCTTCCTTTTTATGTGGTCTCATAACCAGGTAAATACACACAGACTTGTTTGTAAACACACATTTTTCTGGCCTTTTACTTTATCCCCTTGCGAAGTGTTAAGTTCAGGTTTTTGGCATTTTTATCTCTTTAATACATAGAGATATTGCAAATTTTCTTACTTTGTGCATCTGCACCGTAGGCTTTCAAATCCAGAATGAGAGAAGGTCTCCACGGGTAGGTTTCTAAAAGCCCATCCAACACACCCCTAAAAAAGAAATTCAACTTTCAGCAACTTCAGCATGCAAGTCCTAAAAAAAAATGATCCGTATGAACTTCTGAACAATTTTCTAGCCTCTTTTATGAGTAAGGATCCAAAATATTTCTTTTTTATCTAGAGTTTTGAATAAAATGTAGTCAAATTCAGAGTTCTGGAAAATCACTATCTGAAAAGTCGGTAAAAGACAGAGTAACAGAAGGCGAGGTTGGAAGAAAAAACACCTGATTCCTTTGCTGATACCCACTAATTGCAAAACTTAGTGGCTATGGATCTCTGAGCCACAGTTTTCTTAGCTTTAATACAAGTGAAAAAGTGCACTTAAATATTCAATGTGATTGCTTTACTGCTTGCTTACCTGTTTCTTCCAGGATCTCTAAATCCTTTAGCAAAAGGATTCCTGTCGATTTTCAGTTTGGTAATCTATGGATTCAAAATGGAGAGAAAGATAAAGTGAGTGATCTTAGAAACAAGACCTTTGCTATTGTTGATAATAGTTACATTAACCACCTCAGACTTTACAACCTATAATGTCACACCTTACATAAACATAAGGATATTGCCAGGTCTGATTTGGAGTAATTAGATTGCTTATCTCCTGGTTTAGTTTGCTCTATTCTCCTTCTAACATCAGATCCACATGATTTTGTTGTTTTTGTTGTTGTCAAAAATAACTAACGGCAATGCAGTAGAGCTGTGAATGTTTTCAGTTGTCGGAAGTGAAGACCACAGAGTGAAGCTTGCCTCTGCCACAGTGTTCTTCTGGAGCCACTCCCACTGGCCTGGATCCTGGTCAGGATTACCTGTTGGTTTTGGTAAGCTGTCACTGTGGTGAATTCTGTTTCTTTAAAGGAGAAAGTTTTAATCCCTTCCACGGGCAAGGACTGAATCCGGGACAGGTCAGTCTTGCTGTCTTGCTCCATCACGTGCACGCGAGGTTTGTACTTATGCATGGACTGCAGAATGATCTGGGGAAGAAACAATCAAGTGCTGCCAGAAAAACCAAGTCCCTTTCCCTAACTCCCCTCCCCACCTCTTCAGGACACCCCTCAAGTGCCAGACAAATGTGAGACCAAACTGTGCAAGCTCAGGTAGACATCGCAGAGGATTTTTGCTGTGCTATTTGGGTTTCAACAGAGGGCACCATGCCTAAGAGGTTTCCCCTGCCAGGTACCTCTGCTACACCAATCAGGAATGGGTGTACTCCCAGTTTGGTTCCTTTGTGCTTTCCAGTATGGATGGTCATATGGTGTAGAATTGTCATCATAATGTGATCTTTTACCACAGACTTCCTGGATAGTGAATGACAGGCCCAGGCATGGTGGTTAACTCCATCTCCCTAATGCTTAGAGCTCCTTCTCTCCTTTTGGGACTGGTAGAGGGACAGATCAGGCAGGGAAAAGGCAAAAGCACATCAGGAAGACAGGTGAAAGATCACGTTATTTGATCTGAAATGGTCTTTCAAGGGGGGCGGGTTGTGGGCGAGATTTCCAGACTGTCTTCCTGGATTCCATGCTTGCATCCTCCTACCACATCACACCACACAGAAAATGCACAAGTTATAGCAACGTGGACTGCTGGAAGGCAATTAGTACCTGTGCGGATTTCCCAGGAAGCTCAGGTGTCTAAAAACCCCAAGGAAGCATGGTCTGCCTTCGGCCCTGTCTGACCAGACATTTTGGCTTTAAACGGATTTCTTTTGATACCCAAACACCTGAGGCTGAACATCCCTATCTCTGCAACTCTCAGCCTTCAAACGTTCCAGATAACCTACGGTGGCTATTTTACTCAGACTTCCACTGTTTGGACAGGTACTAAACAGCACAAGATGTGCATCTGGGAGAAGCCTGCTTTGCCTTTCCAAGATGCTGGCAGGAAGGTGTTTGGCACCTCCCTCCTCAGGGCAAAGGATTGAGCTCGCTTACGTGGCCTTTGTCGTCCATTTCGTTGTTGGTGAGTTTCACCCGATCAAAACTGATGATCTGTCGCATCCAGGTCTCTCCCGAGCAGGGAGAGTCCGGATGGATATAGAATCTGGGAGTGATGCAGGAGTGGTCTGTATTCCCTGCCACCATCCACTGCGAGCTGTGATACACGTACCTGAAAGTCACGGAGTGGCTTGTTAGGTATGACGCGCCAAAAGCAAGGAGAAAGGAAAACAGGTATTTGGGTTTTCGTCCTAAAAGCCTGATCCAACATTAACCCGCAAATCTCAAAGGCAACCAACTTGATTTTCACGCACCACTCAAGGGAACAAAACAAACTATATAAGCACGCGTCATCATAATACAATGAAATGCCAGGGCGAGTGAAACGTCGTGGGGCTTGCGAGTCTGGTTTGCGTTTCCTCACCGAAAAGGCAAAGGAATGGATTCGACCGTTTTACCACGCAGAGACGCGGGAAAACACCATAAACGTTGCGGGGCAGGGGAAGGGGAAGAATAAGGGGGTGAGGCGAATATTGTCAAAAAAGTCTCCACGCCAGAAAACCCCCAGAAATCCCGTCGCAGGTTGCCAGAGCTGGTTTTCACACCGCTTCTAACCGGAACCTCTAGCAGCGCAGTATGCCCAAATCGGCTGCAGCGCGACACCAGACCCTTGCCTGTTTCTGAGCCACGGTGCCGGCAGCTAGTGGGCTGCGCTTTGTCCTTTCTTTGCTCTGAATACCAGCCGTGACAGCGATTGTCTATGAAGGGTCAGGCACCCACCAACTGAGTCCAATTCCCCATCTTGGTGTGGATGGCTTCCACACAACCCCTTCGCTCAAAGTTGTTGTTTAAGGCAAAGCGCAGTCCCAGGGGCTTCTAAGATTGCCACTTTGCAAGTGGGGGCCTCTTGGTTTTAGAATGATTCGTCCGCTCTCCCTCTGCTCTAAATCCAAGGCTCACTCTAACAGAGAAGGGTTCTAGCACCCTCAGGACAAGCCACTGCACCCCGCGAATGCCTAAAGGGAGGAACATTTATGCCCAGTAATAACAGATCCACTACACTTGGGTGACAAATTATTAGAACATCGTTCCAGTTGCTTGCTACCCAGACCAGGCAGTTTAGGACCCAGCACATCCGTAAGGTCGGGCCACCCTAGAGAATCTGTCATTTCTCCCCACCTACACCCCACCATTCTTTCAACAGCTTCCATTCACACAGCTGGAGCTTACGCTATCAGTACTTTACATAACCATGGGCAGAGCAGTGGGTGGTAGTAGGGAGGGGGAGAGAAGGACCTGGAGTCATTTAAAACCCTAATTGCCATCCCCAGCCCAGCGAAGAGCAAGTCCGGTTAGAGTTAGGGAGGAAGTAACAACAAATCCGAGCTTCTCTCAGCCCAAACTCCGAATTCAGTGGACACCATTTGACACCCAAATCACAGGGCCAACAAATTCCCGACTGCCACGCTAGAGTTTTCAAAAACAGTCAGCTCTCCAATCTCAGGATTCAGGATCCTACACTCCCCCCGCCACCCCCCCACACCAGTCCTCTTGAGAACCCTATTACCTGTAGCGCTTAGAATCAACTGGAACCACATCAATCGCGATGTAATACTGCTTCCCTGGATCCAGTCCTTTCACCTTGACCCGGACAGAGGGGAACATTCTCCTGTGGGAAAGAGAAGAAGACCTAACCCCAGAGCTTTTAGACATGTTTGGAAGGGACACCCTGACCCCAGTGGAAAGATGAGGGTATCACATCCCATTTGCAGTTCATGACAAGTTCAGGCAATGGCATTTGCTACATGAGAACAGATTTTTGTAGGCTTGATTGAAAAAAAAAAAAAAAACGGGATTTCCGAGAGAAGCAGAATATACTACAGACGTTGTCCACCCTGTCCCATCTTAGTATAAAGGTGTAGAAGAGGCAATAGGAGAGGGGGCCAGGAAAATCGCAGCCTTTCCCCTGAATTTTCAGGGGCATATTCGAGGTAAGGTAGATTTGCGGAAAGACTGAAATCTGAAAGACTCAAAGTCACTTTGGATCCCTGAAGAGGCTAAAAGCTGATCTTAGGAAACACCCATCTCAAAGTGTCTGGACAAGGGAGAGTGGCCTGGGAGTTTAGGAGAGGAAATATTGTTCACTGCTATCATCTGTAAGGCTGAAAGTGAAAGATACAGTGTAAGATGTGGGGATGGCATCTGGCACCTGCCTGCGAAGACCTGAGTTTTGCCAGCACAAACAGCAGCTTAAGGAGTCAGTTCTTAGAGTCAAGATAGATAAGAAAAATGATCCATTTAACGGACCCATGTACATACAGGTTGATCAATTATGGAAGCCGTGGCTTTCTAGCGTCTGCAAGGGAGCTGGAGGGGGGAGGGGTGTCTGAGTCAGAAAGTAATTCCGCATCTTACAAAAGCCGCACATGTAAGCGAGAATGGTGTGCAACCCTTATGAACAACTTGGGCAGAACCGAACCTGCCCGCCTTGGTAATGATCATCTCAGTTCCAATGTCATGGAATCGCTTCCACAACTCCGATCCTTGGAGTTCCACGTGGATAACATCTTTCTCTTCTAGGCTTTCGCTGCCGTTGTCGTCGCCGCCGCCGCCATCGCCGCCTCCACAGCCAGAAAGAGCAGTTGAAAGCTCTGTCTTGGGTCGCTTTTCTGCTGGACACAGAGATGCCCAGGGTTTGAGAGAGCTTTGAAGGTCGCGCGCTCCCAGCTCACCGGTGCCTCTCTTGGAGTAGGCCGACTTTGTCCCTTCCCCAGGAACCCGGAAGGCGGCTCCCCCAGCTCCCCACAACACTCTCAGTGATCTCTGAAAGTGGCGCGACCCTCTAGATTTGCCCATCCTCACTTTTCCTGAGACCGTCACATCCTCCAAGACTAGGTCTCCTCAGAATCTGGGGACACGCCCGGCTTCCTAACCAGAGGAACAACCACCCCTCTGGGCTTTGACAGGGTTGCTAAATAAACCACGCATCTCCACAGGAATGTAAGGGCCCTCCCAATCACCGCAAAAGCACCCTGCCACTCAGGATGGCCTTCGGAGACCGAAACTTTCTGCTGCCTAGGACCAGAGACTTCTCACGACCCCCGACGCAGCTGTCCGGCTTGCGTACGGCTAGCCGCCAGGAGAGGTGCGGAGCGAACAAGAGAGGGCGGCAGGTTTAGTGCTTTGGGGTTGAAGAGGTGGTGGTGGTGGTGGGGGGTACTCACCGGGTTGTTCGCTCTTCCCTGCAGGGCTGCTCTTTCTCTTTTCCAGTTTCTCTCCGTCCTCTTTCTCCCGTAACTCATCCTGCACCTTCACTCTTGGATCTTGCAGTTTTCTTTTGCTGGTTCTCCCCATCAGAGCTTCCACAGAGAAGGCGTGCGCGCGAGAGCTCAGAGCCATCCCTGAAGGGGGCGAAGGGAGCGTGCCCCACAAACTTTCAACCTGAGCTGGGTTAAGGAGGGAGGAGAAGAGAGCAAAGACGCAGAGGATAGGCCAGTAAAGCAAAACAGAAAAAAAAAAAAAAAAAAAAAAAAACTCCCCAAATCCGTAAAAACAATTTCTGAATCTATATAAAAAGAAAAAAAATAATTTCCGCCTGCTCGTCCGTGCGTGTATGAATATGTGTAATATTTTATATGCAAATGCAATTTTTCTTTGAATAGGTAAAATGAAAGGAGAGGGAGATTCAACTGGAGACTAAATCCTCCGGAGTGTAGTGTCCCTGCCTTTGGCTGTCTCCTCCCTCCCAGTGGACATGTGCGGACCATCAGTCCGGGATTTAGGCTTTCCAGGACCTGGCAAAGAGTAGAGATTGGCAAGCGCGTGCCTTTTAGAGAGCAGACCTGCCGCCAATGGCTGCGCAGGCTGCTCGGATTGGGAGATACTGTTGCATCCGACTGAGTGAATACCCGGCCGGTTGCAGCCTCCGCTGTTTGTTTTGGAAACTCTTGGAAGCATAAAAAAAAAAAAAAAAAAAGCACTGTGAGTGACACTTCAGAGTCTGACAGGGAAGGGGGTTGGGTTTGGTTGGAAAGCGCCTTCAGATAGGCTGGAGGGGAGCAGAGGAGAGGGAGACACAAGGTTACTGTTTTGCATTAAATTATAGAACTCAAAGACGGGAGAAATAATTGCACACGAGGGGCCACTTTTCCAACAAAAGTGCAAATATTATTGAATCAAATCCAGAGAAGTGTATTGGGGGCTTTCGCTCTCCAGTGAAGGCACCGCGGGAAGGAACTGAAGTGCAAGCTTTGTGAGCTACTTGGCTCTGCAGTCAGGAGTCTGAAACTGGGTGCAGGACTGTGCCAATCTGTCCTCTCTTGGTAGGGGGCTCAGGCGAGGGCAGGGAGGAGGCTTCCAGATGCCACTGTCAGTGATTCAGAGCAAGGCTGACCCTTCAAGCCCAGGATTCCGCCTTCCCCCCCCCCCCCACACACACACACAGCTTTTTCTCACACAGCTTAATCAGGACACACAGGACCCCAGGGCTTTAGGGCCACCATCAGAGACCAGGGCAAAAACAGGGCTCTGGCTCCCGTGGATTATGCACCTCAAAACGTTGGCATTTAATGATTGATTCCGGTGTCTTGTTCAATATCTTCCTGGACTCACTTTTATTTATTTATTTATTTACTTATTTTCTTCTAAAACAGATAAAACTGGTGTCTGTGTCACGGAGAGATTTGGCTACCGCATCCAAGAAGCATGATTTTTGTATAGACATGGGAGATATCTGTATGCATTACTCACTGTCTGTAAGCCTATGATTCACTCATCCACTTTTCATTAGAAATAGGAAGTCAGGTACTTCAGGACTTTATGCAGATTACATTAGCAAAACAAACAAACAAAGAAACAAAAAACCTTTAAACATTCCCCTAAAGATTCTATTGTGTTCCTCAGATGTAACTGTTCAAAAGTCATTGAAATTCAGGCTAACTCCATTTAAAATGGGATGGAATTTGAATTAAGTTAAAAGGTTCCAATACTGGAGTTTTAGAGTAAGAGACTTGCATGTACTCTTAATTTCAGCTACTTAGGTATACATGTGCACTGCTAAGATTTTTCAAATGATGGTAGTGGGAGTGGTGGTGGTGGTGAGACACAGGACAGGACATCTTCTGGCAACTCGATATGGTTTTAAGCATTATAGTGATCTCAGACAGCTCGATCAAAGGTTACTTTGAATCAAAGGTTAGTTTGAATCCTGCTGAAGGCTTTGAACTAGTAATTAATGATACTCTGTTTACCACGCAGAGCTAGGAAATCACACCATCACTATCCTACAGTGACAGAGACAGTCCTACTGGACATGGCCAAGTTCAGTGTAGAAGGCCTTTAGGCTGGAAAGCAACAGGTCTGGCTGTCATCTTTGCCACATGTTCATGGATACATGTTCATGTCATACATGCTACATGTATCTTTCCGCAGCCATGAAAGGGTAGGGTAAGGTATCTGCCCACTCCTTGTTATTGAGAAGATTATTTTTAAAACATCCATTGGACATGTATTCCTAAAGACACAGTTTAGAAAAAGAAAAGGCGGGAGTTTGACAATTTTAAGGTGTTAGTCACCATGTTGTGTTTTCACTACTGTTTCCTAATACGGTTATTTTCTTGCCTTTGAACTCTGACTTATTTTGATGCAATAAGGCAAAACATCACCTTGTATAACAAGGGATGGTTTTGCTTAATCGGTTTTAAACAGACTTTCTTTAAAATGAAGGCAAAATAAGTTTATTGCAATGCCTGTTCCAGTGTTTCCAACTACTGACTAAAGGATTTTTTTTTTCACAAAAAAGATAAAAAATAGCATATTTGGGGATATAAGTTCTTGTTTTGAAAAAAAATTATTCTGTAATATCTACTATATATAAAAATGTAGCCATCCAGAATTTCTCTTTGTAATTTAATTTTTCCCCAATCCTATTTCAATTATGTCTCATGGCATCACTGAAAGGAATGTATCTCATTTCTTCTTCATGTGTGTTGGGACTGAGATACAGTTTCTTGTTAAATTGCGTGTGTGTGTGTGTGTGAGAGAGAGAGAGAGAGAGAGAGAGAGAGAGAGAGAGAGAGAAATAAAAAATAAACCCCGGAACCAGCTTTGCAATTTGTTCAGCTGCTGAAACACTGGAGTCAGGTACTGGGTCCTCACAACTATGCCAGTAGCTCATTCCCCACACCTGGGAGTCTCTTTTGAGTAGTCTTTCTCTTTTATCCAGGAACACCAATAAGCCTTTGTAAGACTCTTCCACACCTGGGAAGGTAGTGGAACATGTGAAGAAAGGCTCTGGGAACCACAGATGCCATATTTAGCGTCACAGTAGCAAAATTCTCACAGTAAAATGTTGGTTTACAATTGCTCAAAACTAACAACTGGAACATAATAAGAAAGTAGACTTTGAAGGCAAAATAAGTTTGTTATTGACACAAATCAATTCTGGTTATTATCTATGAAGATACAGAGGAGATTGACATACCTCAAAGGAAATGTGACTTCTCAGAACTCTTACTGAATGTGAAACTTGAATCTGTTTTAAAGATACAGAAAGTAGTTTGTAATAAAAATATGAAGATTTTATTAATGATGATAAACAGATATATATGTTAACTCATGCACAATACATATAAAGGGCTCTGAAAATATTGCTTTTGTGTGAAATGCAGGCATGGAAGTAAATGCTTACAACTAAGTTAATGTATGGAGAAATGTCATTTTCTGAGAAATTTAGGTCATGTGAAAGGTAAAAATTCAGTGTTTTCTGTATTTCTATATAGATAGTATCGAATTTTTTAAAAAATTAATTTATGTTTAAAGAACCTGTGTCTTTCTGGAGGAAAAAAAATGTTGTGCTGCAGTTCCTACTAACTGTACACTAGTTGCCAAACCTACACAGAGGAATTCCAAATCCTGCTTCTACTCATGTAGTGAAGAAATAAAACAAATAAAATAAATCAATATATATATTTCACATATATACATGCACGTTTATATATACAGTATTTTCCTGTATATACAGAATACGGCGGAGGGGCTCAAAAACTTGATGGAAATTTTGCATTATCCTTTAATTCAACTTTATCTTGAGCTATTTGAATTCCCTTTAAGTTCTATGTATATATATGTGTGTTATGTATATGTAAAGGTATACATATATTATAAAGAAATATCATATAAATAAAATATTTAGGTACCTCTTGCCATTCTTTGACAGAAGTGCAAGAAACTTCATAATGGATATTTTTCTTTCCAGTTTTCCTTTCCCTTGACCTTCACTCTCTGATTGAGCTATTTTGGCATAGTTCTTAACTTCTAGAATATGAATTTTAGGTAAGTTATTCATAATTATTTTTTATCATTACTTGTGAAAGACCACAAGAAATGCAGAGTCAGTTTCCTCCCATGAATTCAACTTTGCCTGAAATAGGCAAATTACCCAAAGGAAGAACACATCTGAGCATTCATGAGTTACAGCACTTGCAGACAAAAAAAAAACTCCTGCCACATATATTCACCTTATAATAATTGAGAATATACCCTTCTGTAATTTTTCTTCCCTTCTTTTCCCTCCTTTTCAATACCACCGGCTTGGTCAATAGAGAAATTATGTACTATAGACTCAGAATTCTAAATCCAGAAAACTAATTTTGATTTCCTTGACAAAGACTCTTAATTCATAAATGAATTTCTAGGACTATGGTAGTAAATAAGAATAAGGCTCAAGTGGCACAGCATGCAGGAAGGCTTCAGACTGGCCTGATTAAATTTATGACTGCTACTTTTCCTCAAAATGATCTTGAAAAAGACTTTTATTTTATTTAGCCTCTTTCATTCTAAACTTTTCTTTGTAATTCCTTCATCACAGTGTATATTTCTGCAAGTGTGTATCTGATGATTTAGTGAGATAATTTATACCAGCTACGTAGTACATTGAGCACATTACCTATAATATAGCAAGCACTTACATGTTTTTAACATTAGAAAAATGAAGGGAGTTAATTTTTATAATGTTCTAATATTTTTATCAACTATACAAATATAAATACTTTGAGGCCTGGCATTAGAAAGTGGAGAAATTTGGTCCAATATTGGAAACTCCAACTTGTTTTTAGGATTTCTTTTTTAAATTCATAATTTAAAAAAAGATTCAATATAGTGCACAGATGCATTTCTAAAAAAAAAAACTCCAACTTTTGGTTAAATCATAAAGCTGGTTGTAAAGTTTAGAAGCCTTTAGGGGAGTTACCTTTCTTAGATAAAGTGGAGAGCTATGTCAATAGATAAAATGAGTAAACTAAGTCACAGAATTGCATTTAAATTTCAAAATCCTTAGAAAACTCATCTAATAGAATACACATTCTGAATTTATTAACTTATCCTTGGAAAGATATTCTCCA